CCCCCCCCCCCCGCCTCTTCTGGTTTTTTGAGACAGGGTCTTGCTATGCAGCCCAGGCTGCCCTTGAATTCGCAGTGATCCTCCTGCCTCAGCCTCCTGGGTGCTGGGATTCCAGATGTGCATGACCATGCCCAGGTGAGGGCCCTTTACAAGAACAAGTCACAAGGATTTGAGGAGCAGTGACTGGGGATAACAGATCGGTGGGTACCACAGCACAGCAGAGCCGGAAGGGGGCTCAGAATTTACAGATGGGGAGACTGAGGCCATTTGTTCCACTCCACAGGTCTCTGTGAATTTGGACACCGCTCCTTCCCACAGCCTCCCGCTTCCTGGCTGGGTGGGTGTTACCTTTCCCCGCAGTCGTGCCTTCCCGGGTGGCTCACTCTGGCAGCTCTGTCTTTTCTGCCCATGTCAGATCACTAATGAAGGGTGTCAGCTCCTAATCCTCTAAACGATTGGAATAGACCTCCCTTCGTGGCCGGTCCCAGTGATGAAGCCAGACAGCGGGCGGTGCTGGCTGCTTTGAATTCCCTGTAATTTCATGAAGCGAGTTCCAGCTGCCCAGAGCGGGGCCTCCTCTGCCAGCACAAAGGGAAGGACGGTGACACATTTCCAAGCAGCACTTAGGGGAGCTGTCACAGCCACGGCCCAGCGGGCAGGCTGGTTTTGGAGTGTCTGCGTCCACCAAGAGGCGGGAAGCCTCCTGGGACAGCACCAGGAGGAGCCCAGGACAGAGGAGACAGAAACAGGACAGCCCCTCTCCAAGGGCACTCACACCCCTGGGGCGGCTGAGGACCTGCCCTGAGGTGCGGCCAGCCGGAGGTCACCCCTGACAGTGAACTCTGTGTGACCCTTGACCTCAGGCTCACCCCGAGCCGCACCAGTGGAGCCCCTGACAGGACAGCAGCTGATGCTGTTTCCAGTCAGCCACTTCCACTGGCTTCTGCTCGCTCTGAGACCACAGGGCCTCACAGATGAGCAAAGCTCTCTCCTCTCCCTGTGCCTGCTCCCTCTTTCCCTTCTTCTAATTCCCCACTTCTATTCTTTCTTTCTTTCTTCCTTCTTTTTTTTGACAGGGTTTTGTTATGCAGTTCATGCTGGCCTTGAACCCACTGTGTAGCCCAGGTGGGCCTCCAACTCTCAGTGATTCTCCTGCCTCAGCCTCCTAAGTGCTGGGGCGTGGGGTCACACTTGTTTTTAAAGCACCTACTGTGTACTCTATGCTGGACAGATGGAGATCCACAGGGAGATTTTCCACAGGGAGGCCCGAGTGTGGGCCAACAAACAGGCATGCAAAAACGATCCTGGTGTCATGGTGGGGCATGCCTGTAATCCCAGCACTCGGAAGGCTGAGGCAGGAAATCACCAGGAGTTTGAGCCCAGCCAGGACTACATAGTGAAACCCTGTCTCAAAAACAAACAAACATTGAGGCCACTGTGAGTTCTGGGTTGGAGGTTCCTGTGCAGGGGACAGAGGGGAGGACCAGGTCTGAGTGGCCGTCGCACAACGGCAGCACCGGGAGGGCTGGAGCCCGAGCAGCAGCCTTCGAGGGGAGGAGAGAAGGCAGTCACCACATCTCTCCACAGAAGGCCTGGCTGCAACTCGTGTCCCTGGAAAAGAGCCAAGCCCAAGGCCATCCCATCCCTTCTCGGGGCCCAGGCCCAACAGGGGAGGCAAGGAGAGCCAGTGGGTTTGGGGGCACGGTGTGGTCCTCCCTGCTGGGCCCAGGCCCCAGTGGGGGGCAGCACCCCAGGAGCTGCGAGGCCTTGATCTTGGCCTTCTAAACAGGACAGGGGAGCAGAAATCAGGCCCAGACAAGCCTGCCCCGGAAGTCAGTAAGGCTAAGGCCTCTGCCAGCGGGAACTCCTGCCTGAGCCTGGCCTGGGTGGCACTGTGCTGAACACCAGCCTTGGAGTCATTCCGCGGCCTTGGCAGGTGGCGTACTTGTGACCCCCAGCATCTGTGCCCAACAGGACACGGGAGGCCCATGCCGCGGCTCGGGGGCTCAGGGTTGAGGGGCCAGCAGGGAGGACTTCCCCGGGCAGCCCCGCCAGCTTCGCCTGGATGAATCGGCTTCACACAGCCCTTCGAGGCCCTCGGCCAAGACAAACACGGGGGCTGTGGGCTGCTGTGGGCTCCTGCTCTGCTCTGCTGGGGACAGCGGGGACCAGGAGAGAGGCCTCCCGGCTGAGAGCTCAAGGCCTCCCGCTGAGAGCTCAAGGCCAGCCTGAACTGCATAGCGAGACCCTGTCTCAAAACAACAAAGAAAGATATGAGGGCCAAGGTGCTCAGCCTGGATCTCCATGAGCTTCTGTTTCCGTTTGCTTCTCTACTGTTAGCAGTTACCTCTCATTTCCCCAAAACTTCCACGGAAAGAGGAAGGAGGCACGGGTGGTACAGTCACAAACCCAGGAGCGCCCGAGTCCCCGTGCCACAAGCGGGAAGGCAGAGCTTCAGAGGGCCAGGGACTGGCCTCCCTAAAGGTGACAGTGTGCTCTCACCTCGGGGTCTTTGTACCATAGCTGTATTCTTTCTGCCCAAACAGCTCTTCCCACCACCATCTCCTCTTTTTTCACTTTTGGCACCGGGGATCGAACTCGGGCCCTTGCACTTGGGAGGTAGGCGGCGGCACCGCTGAGCTACGTCCCCAGCCCTCACCGTTGTCTCTTCTATGCATTCAATCTCAGGGACTTTCGCCAGAGTTGTTTCCTATCCACTGTATCAGGTGAGGTTCTCCTCACTGTCAAAAATAGAGTGAGTTCAAGGCCAGCTGGGACTCCACCAAGACCCTAACCCAGAAATCCGAAAAAGGAGAGAGAGCCAGAGATGAACCAGCGTTCTTGGATCTCGCCCACTGCCCACCCCTGTCAACCAGGGCAACTCCTGTCTGAAGTACCTGCTGCCCACAAAGCGGTAGTTCTGCCCTTGCCCTCCCACATCCTTAGAACTTCACATCATCGTGTTTACCTCTCTCCGAGTACTCAGCCCCCCACCTTTCTTTTGAAACAGGGTCTCGCTATGCAGCCCAAGCTGGCCTCAGACTCTTGGCAATCCTCCTGCCTCAGCCTCCCGAATGCTCAGCACCTCCTCTTGCCTGGTTTCCTGGAGTGTTTGGACACAAGTCTCTTGCTCCGCAGACAAATCCTTAACACCTACCTCCTCCCATAGCCCTGCCTCCCTCCTCACCTCCAGAGAGAGACTGCATCCACTCCAAGTCCACAGCCACCTTTTAACCCAGTGTCCCGAGTGATAACCCTGCCACAGACCTGCTCTGGATTC